CAATTGCATTCCTGATGTAGAACAGGTCACCAGCAATTCAGAACTTAGAGCCATATTCCCAGGACTCTATCATATCTCTTAATCTCAGAATGTCCCGGGAATGTATTTAGAGAGCCGGAAGTGAGCCATGGGTTGATATTTTGAGATCCTCGCTCTGAGCTTTTTTGGGGGGGGTTTAGGATCCTGGGACTTTGATATGTGTAGAGCCTCACAATCCTTGTACACCTTAATCAAAACCAAAGTTTGTGGCAAACCATCAGGAAAACATTTAGGATTCATCCATCCAACCCTTAATTCATATTTCCTGTTGTCACCTACCCCTTTCATCGTGATTATGGTAATTATAGTTTGTTACAAAATGTCATAAATGTTGCCTTCCTGACTTCTTCAGAGGTTCTGACATCTTTAATTAGCCATAACACCGTCATCCACACATTTCAGTGTGTTATTAGACACAGTCAATTACAAGCATAAAACATACATGCTACATAATGATTTGGATCATCTTCAAATATATTATACAACGTAGCACAATATCACACCCATCTACTCATCAAGATGACCATCTATGAATTAATTTCTGGTCTATCACAATGATACTTTCATTAAAATTTAATTTCAAACAACAGGCTAAATCTAATTTCCATTTTTTGAGCATATTTAAGCATCAACTCGTTTTCACAAATCCTGTTTGGCTATTGTGCTACATTTCAATTATTACCTAAATTTTTTTTTTTAAATAAATTCATGTAAGGTAGCTAGGAAGGGTTAAAGTGGTACAATCACTTTCCATGTTTTTTTATATTTTGTTTACCTATCCCTATGTTTAACATATGTGTATTTGTGATATGTGAAAAAATTAATTTAAGTGGAGAAATCCACATCTCTTTATCCTGCAACTGTGTGCATCCATTTTCAAGGAACTGTATAGGTAAAAAAATGCATATCCCTCTTCCCACAAACAGTAAACCTAGTGTCACTAAATGCTTTTTTCCCTAAATAGTGTAAAATTAGTTTTATATGTAAATGTTTTAATCTTTGTATTGATATTATTTGCTGCTCCTCTTCTGATTTAATGTAAATTCCCCCTTCGCGTTCTCCTTGCTTCCTGTATTTCAGCCAGACTGCCCAATGGCCATGTTCCAGTGATTCTATATGGGAATCAGCCATGACATTCCTTACTGGGCATGCCTGAGTTTCACTCAGCTCAGCACATGCCCACAGTGTCTGCCCAAGCCTCCTCGGAGTCCTCAGCATTCAGATACTAGAACTTACAAACCACATCACACACATACACACAAACATTTTCTCACCACATTGACATCATATATTGTCATATGTTTATTATAAATAAATACAAAGACACAGACAAACTCATAAATACCTATAGAGCTTTGTATTATCTCTTTCACGATATATATATATATATATATATATCTGTCTCTATCTACAGTGGGTAGTGAGGTTGGCTGACAGGGACTGGCAGGGAAGGGGGTAAACAGCGTTTGGTAAGGTTGGCTGACAGGGAAGGGGTTAACAGTCGGTAGTGAGGTTGGCTGACAGGGAAGGCATTAACAGTGGGTAGTGAGGTTCAGGGGCGTCACTAGGGGCAGCCCAGATGTGCTATGGCCCATCCTACATCATGCAGTGACCCCCCTTGTGCCCCCCTGTTTGAAATTGAGTCTCCCTTTGCAAGCTGCAGAAGCAGTGCTATCAGTTCCACCACTGATCTATGTTCCCAATTGCCTGATGGGTCCTCAAGAGTGGCGGCAGTGCACAGAGGTGGGTGATCCGTTGGGACCCCTATCTCCATCTTTGTTTGAAGAATTGCATCATGATTGAAGTTCCCACGTGCGGCTTAAGGGGGCACTGTGCTGGGAGGAACTTCCTGGGTCACAGAGAGCAGCGCAGGGGAGAGACAGGGAGAGGAATCTTAGCTTTGCACAAAGTGTGGGGGGAGTGAGGCATCCAGGCAACTGCTGGTAAGTGTGAGTCATTGTGTGTGGTTCAGTCTGTGTGTGCGTTGTTTAGTCTCTCTGCGTGTGGGGGTTTTCAGTCTGTGTGTGGGGGTGGGGGTTCAGTCTGTGTGGGGGGGGTCAGTCTGCGAGTGGGGATGTCAATCTCTGTGTGTATGGATCAGTCTGTGTGTGTGAGGCGTCAGTCTGTGCGTGTATGAGTCAGTCTGTGTGTGTATGGGTCAGTCTATGTGTGTGGGTTCAGTCTGTGTGTGTATGTGTCAGTCTGTGTGTGTATGAGTCAGTCTGTGTGGGGGGTAGTCTGTGTGTGTGTTTGGGTCAGCCTGTGTGTGGGGGATGTCAATCTCTGTGTATATGGATCAGTATGTGTGTGGGAGGCATCAGTCTGTGTGTGTGTATGAGTCAGTCTGTGTGTATATGGGTCAGTCTATGTGTGAGGGGTTCAGTCTGTGTGTGTATGGGTCATTCTGTGTGGGGGGTCAGACTGTGTGTGTATGGGTCAGTCTATGTGTGTAGGGGGTCAGTCTGTGTGTGTGTATTGGACAGTCTGTGTGTGGGGGAGGCAGTTTGTGTCTATGGGTCAGTCTGTGTGTGTATGGGTCAGTCTGTGTGGGTGGGTCAATCTGTGTGTGTATGGGTCAGTCTGTATGTGGGGAGTGTCAATCTCTGTGTGTATGGATCAGTCTGTGTGTGTATGGGTCAGTCTGTGTGGGGGTCAGTCTGTGTGTGTGTGTGTGTGGGTGGGTCAATCTGTGTGTGTGTGTGGGGTCAGTCTGTGTGTGGGGAGGCAGTCTGTGTGTATGGGTCAGTCTATGTGAGGGGGCAGTCTGTTTGTGTGTATAGGTCAGTCTGTGTAGAGATGAGTGTGTATGTGTATGAATCAGCCTGTGTGTGTATGGGTCAGTCTATGTGTGGGGGGATCAGTCTGTGTGTGTATGGGTCAGTCTGTGTGTGGGGGTCAGTCTGTGTGTGTGGGTGTGTGTGTGTGGGCGGGTCAACCTGTGTGTGTGTGTGGGGGTCAGTCTGTGTGTGGGGGAGGCAGTCTGTGTCTATGGGTCAGTCTATGTGAGGGGGCAGTCTGTTTGTGTGTATGGGTTAGTCTGTTGTAGGGAGGCAGTCTGTGTGTGTATGGATCAGTCTGTGCTTGAGCTCCAAGAGAGATTACTCTAATCTCGTGACCTCCCCTGTACCTGATGCCTTCTCAACCACCACAGATCTAATTGTGCCACCCCCTCACTGCAAGGTAAAATCAAGGAAAGGGGAATATGTTTTTTAAACAATTATTAAAGAACAAATTGTAAAGCCCTTCCCTATCCCACTCTCTACACCCCTGAACACAGTACACATTCCACACATCACCTCTTCACCCACATACACACTTTATCCTCTTATACATTCACCCCCACACACGTACATACATACTTCATTCCATTACACACCAAATCTTATATACATACATACACAATACAGTTCCTTGATAAGCACACAATGCAACCCCAATACACATACACTCACACTGCAGCCTCTAGATGCACACACACTTTACAGGCCCTATCAGCACACTCAGAATCTCAAAAGCTCCTATACATGAGGATGTGCTAACACTACAGCCCCTACTTACACATAGTACACTATATTGCTATTTTAAAATTTATTTAAATCTACCCAGCCTCCCTAACTTTGGGAGAGCTGAGTGGATCTTTCTCTGTCATCCAATGGGGTTCCTCTCTAATCTTTCTGCAGTTTCTCTCTGCTCCCATGCGCACTCTCTGTAGTGATGCCGGGGCCGGAGTGACGTCATGTCACTAAACAGTGCACGAGGAAGCAGAGAGAGATTTGCCGAGCCCTGTGTATGAATGTGTGTGTACATATATATATATATATATGTACACACACACACACACACACACATATGCACGTTTTATAACTGCCACCCTACTTTTGTCCCTGACCCCTCATGTGCCCCCCTTAAATATGAATCCTGGAGACGCCTCTGGTGAGTTTGGCTGACAGGGAAAGGATTAACAGTGGGTAGCGAGGTTGGCTGAGGGCGGAGGAGAATGTCTGACTTGCATTACAGGAAGGGAGGGAGGAAAAGGAGAACATATGGGCATACAGTGTAGTCTGTGCTGTGAGCATTCCTTATACTAGTTAAGACATGCTTCTATTTTCATTGGCTGCAAAATGTATGTTTCTGCCAGAGACTGTGAATCAGGAATATGTTGAAATGTGAGGGGTGGGGTGGCTAAGGAGGTTGGGTTACACTGCTGAAATCAACAAAACATTTTACAGCACTACAGGAAAACTACACAGAGTTGAAAAAAAGAAACTAACCTGAGGTATTTTTAGCATCTCTTTTACTGTTAATCATTGCTAAACACTTTGTCCTTGTATCTTGCAATCATTATACAGAACGCATACAGAGAAGAAATTCAATGTTGCCTTGCCTTGTGTGAACTGGATTATGATGTAATTTACTATATCTTTAATTTAAATTTAATAATAAAACAGAGCATTTGATGAAAAAGGTATTAACACAAGTTACAGGTGATTTTTTGGACAACTGAGCAACAGACCAGGTCTGTTTTTCTTTAGCCCAGGTAAGACGCTTCTGGCGTTGTTTGTTGTTCAGGAGCGGCTTGACAAGAGGAATACGACATCTGAAGCGCATGTCCAGGATCCGTCTGTGTGTGGTGGCTCTTGATGCACTGACTCCAGCCTCAGTCCACTCCTTGTGAAAGTCCCCAACACATTTGTATGGACTTTTCCTGACAATCTTCTCCAGGCTGCGGTCATCCCTGCTGCTTTTGCACCTTTTTCTTCCACACTTTTCCATTCCACATAACTTTCTATTAATGTGCTTTGATACAGCACTCGGGGAACATCCAACTTCCTACGCAATTACCTTTTGAGGCTTTCCCTCTTTATGGAGGGTGTCTATGATGGTTTTCTGCACAACTGTCAGGTCAGCAGTCTTCCCTGTGATTGTGATTCCTACTGAACCAGACTGAGAGACCATTTAAAGGCTCAGAAACCCTTTGCAGGTGTTATGGCTTACTTAGCTGATTAGAGTGGGACACTGTGAGCCTAGAATATTGCACCTTTTCCCAATATTCTAATTTACTGAGATGTGGATTTGGGGTTTTCATGAGCTGTAAGCCATAATCATCGCATTTTTGACAAATCACAGCTTGAACTATCTTGCTTTGCATGTAATGCGTATATCTCATATAGTAGTTTCCACTTTTACGTTGCATTACTGAAATAAATGAACTTTTGCACAATATTCTTATTTTTCGAGTATCACCTGTAGTATTTAATTTAATACACTGGTTCACTTTAATAAACACTATATGGTTTTCAACTAAGCCTCTAAATGCTCACCCGGTGCATTTCTATATTCATGCCACTAAGGCTCGATTCCTTACCCTATGTCCAACATCAAAACTGTATAATCGGCACGTATGCTACTACTATTCCATTTCTAACAAATGACTACGATTTCTTGTATCTGTTTCTATATTCAAGGGAGACTGGGTTTTTGACACTTAACTGGGGATTAGATGTTATCACTAGTTCTGTATAGTAAGTTACGTTAATTAATGCCTTGGTATATTATTATTTAACTAAGTTTAAGATCCCTATTCTAATTCACCTGTTATGGTGGCTTCCTTCACTGCTTGCCTCAATTCTACTCAAGTGTATGGCATACTCTCTTGACTATATTACCATGTTTATGTCTCTTAACAGCACTACTGTTTTATCTTAAGTCTGTTGTTCTACTCTCGAGGATGTTCCGGGTAGGGCCATGCACATACTTCTCACATAATTCATTATCTCGTCAGGTTCATTATTAGGACTGCTGCTTTCACTTGTATCAGTTTATTTCTTCCATAAGGGTCATAGGTTAGAGGATATTCGTATCAAGGGTATTACTGATAACATGGTTATTACAGGTTACGGAGTACTCAGCATTTTAGGGCAACATTACTCATCATACCCCTTACACTACTTTCATTATGTAGGTTTTATAGATTATTTGGTTGGATCCACGAGCTGGCCTTACATCTCACTCAAGTACATCATATCTTTAAGTGCTAGGTATCTACGATTTACTGCACAGCCTCCTACTTACGGCTGAATGTTGCATTGCTACATATCCTGTTATTCAGAACAGGATATCTACTTTTACATACCACAGTTCCTACTATATCTCATTAACCTTGTAGGTGTGCGCCAATCCAACTTCTGTGTCATACTGCTATTCTGACTACTCGTTCTCAGAGACGTCAAATTACACATACTCATTGAAAACCTTACCCTGCCTCCCTTAGTTAGTTTCATTACTGGCTGGCAGGACACCAGGAGCCTGATACCTTATACTTCTCAGGCCTCTATGCCTTAAGTTAGTGGTCCCGCAAGGCCAACATCCATCCTCATACTCGGAGGTATTACACCCATCGGCCCAACTCATAGTTATTTGCCTTGCATGGTGGCATAGAGAGGGCCTCACCTGTCACGCCCATTCTATCTATGTGGAGCCTGTACAATTAAATGTGTGTAAGTTACGTGGCTGGTACTATTAGGTATTGGTAAGTTCCTTCTGTCCAATTATACTGGATTAGAACATCACGTTATGAACACACAGTAGTTTTGGTTTTTAGTAACAGGTATAGGTCCATAATTGCAAATACCTGTCAGGTAGAGTCCGTTAGCTGGTTACTATAGGTAGAAATAAATATTTAGGTTGCCAAATGTAACTGGGTTGCAGGTATTCAACATTACATTTCATTTAGGTTCATATCAATTCAAGACCTCACTCCATTCTCCTTTATGTATTGGACATACATTCAAACTCTGACTTTTACAAAGGGATGTCTCCTTACGCTGACCTTAACAGGGTCCTCCATATGCATTCGAGCATACATTACATAACTCAATATTCAGTGTATGTTTCTGTACGTTCAAAATATCCAACGGGATTTTGACTATCCGCTTACAAGTAAATTAGGATCCAGATTACATGCATTCCACACAGATACATGGGATATAGCTTATTATGATAATATTTAGGTTGAACCACTTACCTCCTCGTACATAGAAGAGGCTATGTTCATTCAGGGCGATTTTCTCTACTAGTACAATTCAGCTTCTCATCTAAACATAGCATCACAGCATGCCTCCTTTAGCTTACGGTATTGGGCCCTTACTAAGACTTATCGTTTTCTATACTGTCATTCACCTTAGCTCCCCTTAATAACAGGTGTCGCTACTGACCAGAACAGTTTGATGACGGGCTCGCAAATCATAGATAACCATGATATACATCATACGTATCTTCATATGTAAATATATATGTAGGTAGATAGTGGTTAGGAGTGTGTGTGTACGCAAATATATGTATTTACATGTGCTCGCGTGTATTCATTCACGCTCTGGTGGCTCATTATTTCAAACTATTGTACTCACTGTTATGTTAGTATATGCAATTATGTTATCCTTGGTTCCTATGTCATAACTCTAGGGTTGTTTAATTGTTTGGCTCACCTATGGCATTTCTCACGTATCTGCATGTGCCTCAAAGCAGATCTTGTCATATGCACTCTGTTAGAATACTGACTTGGCCAGCTGTTAATTACTACTTTATCAACATATGACCATATCCCTCACTTATCTTGTTCTCCTTTACAGACTTTCTGCTGAGGTTCTACAGTTTAATCCTGTTATGGCACGATTTTATGTTATGCTCAAGCTTCTTGAGGTCAACGGTCAATTTCACTTCTATTGCCACCCTTTACTAAAAAGACACTACTAAATGACATTTGATAATTCTGTCAGTAATAATGCTGGATAACGACCTAACCTCTGTTCAAGGTTCCCCATATCTGCTCCTACTAGCCTTACACGACAATACTCTAAGTATTTTCAGACTTTATCTCAGCATTTTACTGCATGGTCAGATAAAGTCTTAATTCAGCGAATTAAGTAGGTCACTCCTTCCACATCAGTGCTGACAACCATATGTCCAAGAACATTCGGTACATATTAATGGGACGTTGAGACTATGGAGGCCTCAGCTTAGTCCAGATATATACATCAACCTGTTCTTAAATACGCCAAGTCTTCCATAACAGGTATATGTAATATATTGTAATATGCTTGATTTGTAGGCTGTATAATTCTGTATGGTATACTCTTTTTGCCCTCTTTTATTACTGGCCACCGCATCGTCAGATCCGACACACCACAATATTACTATAGGTCTCATATAGGGACCTTACATATCTATTTTTTAATATGTTCTCATTATGGCTTTTGCCCCTACCACAAATATAAATAAATTAAAAAAAAATTATTTATATATATTGGAAGGCATGGCCTGAAGTTGAGGGAGGGGCTATATACCTACTTAAGGGACTCCCCCCTTCCCTTACTTACCTTCGTTGGTCTAGACGAACAGGAGGCTAACACTCGCCGGCTTCCGTTGCTCCCGACTTCCTGGTTCGTGACGTCACTTCCGGCGAGACACGGCGCACTCCTCTGATGTCACACGCGGACTTCCGCCGGCTCCACAGGCTCTACAGGCCCACCATCTCTCCGGCTCTCCAAACCCAGCCCGAACTGCAGGCTTTCAACCCGGCATTACCGGCCCCAGAACCGGACACTCACCGGCCACCAGCCCGACCGGCCTCTCCCCCCAACAGACCATTTTTGGGGCGGTAAGCAGGGCTCCTACTGGGGATAGCAGCTGGCCCGGGTGCAGGACAGAGACTCCATTACTGCTAGGAGTCCCTGTTCCCGGCCGCCGGCAAAACCCAGTATTAAGGGGGTAATTTATGATGTTTAAAATAGGGGGGGGGGACATACATACGGCCTGGGCAGGAACAGGCCTCAACCAGACCCCTACATCGTAGGGTCCTGTTTCCTACTGGCAACACACAAGGGGGGCATTTATAGGAGGCTTCAGGGTTAAAACCCCGGTCTACCTATCTTTCACAATTTTACAAAGGGTACGTTTCGTCACTGGCTGACCCTTAGTTCAGCCAGTTTGCAACCTTACATTATAACATACACTCCCCTCTCAAATACCTTACATTCCCATATCTTGCTGTTATTTATTCATATTCTGCTAATTAGGACACTGGTTAAATTAGGAACGCTGGTTATACATATATGATATGCTTGGGAATATAATACATTATATATGTTTATTTATGGCTGTTTACATATGTTATTAGATATCGGCATGTATAGTAGTAACGTTAAGTTTTATGATAATATACCACGGTTACGGTTAAAGTGCATAGCTTACCGGTGGCATTGTGTACGTTAGGGGGACGATGTTCGCTACAATCCCCCCCCAGAACTCTTACTACGTCAATTTATTCATATTTATGTATATGTTCCACATTAGAGTACATTATCTAAAATTCTCATACCCCCAGGAACCTGAATACCCTCGGACGGGTCGCCTAAACTAACCCCCCCCACCTAAAAGACACCTGAATTCTCTTACACAGAACCAGTGCTCAATTTTCTGCAGGTATGTTGATTTGCACGTTTTCTTTTTCAGCACGGCCATGTTAGTTATTTCCCTGCCCCTTAATCCTAGCGGTCCGCGAGGCCAACTCCCATCCTCCACTTCGAGGTACTATACACCCCTCGGGCCAAATCATAGTTAGCCGCCTCGCAAATTATATAGAGAGGGCGACACCAGTCACCACCAAATGCCCCCCCACACGCATGGAGAGGCCAACGACCCATCAACGGATAGGCTACCCCACCCCTCGCGCCAACTCATAGATAGAGCCTCTCTAGCCACTTGGCACTAGCAGGGCCTCACCTGTCACAAACCTAGAATAATCTTTCGCCATCTGGCACTAGCTAGCCACCCGTCAACTCCCAACCCTGATTACCATACATATCTGTTATATTTTTCAGTATGTCCCTACTACCAGATGATGGTGAGGATATGTCAATCCCTTGCACCCCTGCTAGGTCACTTACTCCGACCCACAAGGTCGACACGGGAAGCCCCTCGTCCATCAGATCATGGACTATCCCCCGCATCACTGCAGAATTACGCAAACGCAGCATTCCTTTCCCAGCTACTGCCAGGAAAGCAGAACTGTTCAAGTTGCTAAGAACCAATACCATTAATACAAACGCAGGGGAAGGCACAAGCAACTCCCAAGATCCGACTCTCCATGCTATGGTTGCCTCCCTAG